CCCCCCCCCCCCCCCCCTTCCCAGCTGGGTGTACGATTGTTAGGCATCCAGCTGTGCCACTACCTGCTGGCGTGCCCGGCAAGTCTTCCATCCGGGAACGACGAATGCACTGCAAGCAAAGAATGGTGACAGGGTGGAGTCGCCGCGCGTTCAGCTATCGATGTGGGTTCGTTATCGGTGGGGGCGCAGGTGCGGCGCGCAGTCTCTACCGGGCCGAAGGTGTTCTTCCTGGCCTCTCCTGCTCGTTGCGAACACAGCAGCCACAGCCGCCACAGCACCGGATGCAATGCATGGAGGGGAAGTGGTACGCACATGCATGATGCGTTTCAGTGAATGATGCTGCAGTGTGTGTAATACGTACGTATATTGCCATGGGGATATTGGTCGGAGCACACACGATATTGTCAAGGGCTGACGAGGGAGAGACACTTTTCTCCCCCCACCCCTTAACAATAATCATGGCACACACTCATACACTCCATGTATACAGCTAGAGAGACAGACAGACAGACAGACGGACGGACAGACGGACAGACAATTAAAAAAAAAATCGATCAGCCAGTCAGCCAGCCGGTCGCTCACTTACTCAGTCAGACCTGGGGGCACTCCTTCCTTTTCCTCCTCTGCGTGTTCGTTCCACGAGCGCATGGGTCGGTCACTGAGCCGCATGCGCGGCCAGGACCTCTCCAGTGCTCTGAAATTGCTCTGCAGGCGGGGCGGGTGCAGCACCCGCTCCCTCCTGCTGCTGTTGGGCAGTGGCCTCGTCGGGTTTGGCCTCTGGCTGCTGTGGCTCGGGTGGTGGAGGCTGGGTGGTGGTTTGTGGTGCAGCCTCCAGCTCGGCGGTGTGTTGGTCCACTGGGTGTGGGGGTGGCGGTTGTTGCTGTTGAGTGGACAGCATGTCAGGTGATGGTGTCTCCATGAGAAGAGACCATACGTTCCGCTCATCTGCACGTGGATCGATAATCCATGTAGACAGACAAGCAAGACCTCTTTGTGCACTGCACTGCATAGGCATACCCAGCTACTCACCCACCCACCCACATACCCTGGGGTCGTGTGTCGATGTCGCCTGTGACCTTGCCCTTGAGCTCAGCCATGCACGAGTGTGTGCGCTGGGCCGACAGGTAGGTGTGGCAGTGGACCTCGTACTCACGACCAAACTCATTCTCCTGAGCTGTCCTGAGTGAGTGAGTCAGTGAGCCATCCACACACGGAATGCAGAACACGTTCACGTCGGCCATCCATTCCATCTATGAACGTACCTGACGGAAGCCAGTGCAGTGTTGGAAGCGACGTGCTTTATGACCTGAAGGGGTGGGGTGGACCAGCACATACATACATACGGTATGCAACGACCCGACCCGCTCATGAACGACCATATGTACGTGTACGTAGGTTTTCACTGACCACTGCACTGTTGGCCGCAACGGGCTCGCCCTCCATCTCGAAACGAACTCTCATGTCAGGATGAACCAACTACAGTGTATATATATGGGCAGGACAGGGCAGGGCAGCCACACACACAGTCGGTCTGCCTGTCCTGTCCATACGCTCCGCTCCACCCATCCAACTAACTGAACTGAGTGTGTGCTGCCGCTGGTACCTTCCATTTGGTGTTTCCGCTTGGATTGGGTGTGAAGAGCACCTCCTGCTTGCGGGCAAACTTTGACGCTGACAGGGGACTCACAGGCTCGCTGTGCAAATACAACTGGAAGGCACGCAAGTCATGACAGACAGACAGACAGAGAGGCTTCGTCTCAGCAACGGATGGATAGATCACGAGAGCGTGCAGCTTCGCTTCTTACGCTCCATCCGGTGAGTGACGGGTGTGTTTGTAGGCGGAAGTGCTGCCCGAAATGGAGCACCTCGCCAGGGTAGCCGTCGGTCTCGTCAACTCTGCACATCATATGCAATGACATGACAAGCCAGACACGCACAGACTATGCAATCAATGCACACCCGTGTCTGTCTGTCTGTCTGCTCTTATTTCTCCCGTTTGTCGGTCTGTGTGTGTCTAGTCCACCCTATATACCTGGTGATGATGAATGTGTTTCTCGCCACCGGCTGGTTGTGCGGTGAGGTGGTGACGGTGTACACATTCGACTCCTTGTTGCTCGCACCAGAAGGGTCGTCTGTTAGTCAAAACACAACACCACAGACAGACAGACAGCATTGTGCGTGTGGTGGGAAGGCAGGCACGCAGGCACGCACGCAGCGCCAATTGACAGACTGACCGTATGGGTCGCATGCCATGAAGGCCGAGGTTTCCTCGTTCACAATCATGACGGCGCTGCCGAAGTACAGCAGACCGTCGGGCGAAAACGAGGGCTCCGTAGCCGCCAGGCACCGCTGCAGCCGCTGCTGCTTGGCCGTCACATACAATCGACCTACACAAGCACCAGACACACAAGCAGACAGACAGACAGACAGGCAGACAGGCAGACAGGCAGACAGGCAGACAGACGCCAAAATGGCCACGTACCCATCAGAATTGACGGTGAACGGTGAGGGCGTACCTTCTTGTTTTCTTTTGAGGAAGTCCTTGAGCCGCACCTCCTCCAGGAACTCATCCTCACTCCAATTGCCGATCCTGCCAGGCAGACACACAGGCAACACAGACACACATATGTATGTGTATGTGGCCCCCACTCATTTCGGCCATGGCGTGCACTTGTGGTGTGTCTGTGGTGACCTGCATCGGTGGCTGAACCTCCCCCCTCCCGATAGCTGCTGTGCAGTGAATTGCATGATCCTCTAAGCACTGAAACCATTGCAAAGCAGCAAAACAACGCACAAAGGAGAGAGCAGACGACAGTGGATGAATCACAGGCGGCCTTTGACTCCCTCAACGTGAACCAACATCCACTGTGGCAGACAGGCAGAGGATGCATACCTGGGAGATTGGCCGGCTATTCACAGCGGTTTCTCGGTTTGTGAGTTACCCAAGCCATGTGCTGGCCCTCAAAGCTGCGGCCCTCGGCCGCCTCCTCTTTTGAAGGAACCCCCCCTCCCTGGGGGCACCAAGCTCGCAGTCTCAGAACGAACTCCCTGTTCTCCTTCTTCCACCTCCCCCCAACAATGCTTCGCCTCACTGTCTTGCTCGCCCTTGTCTCTTTCTTCATCGATCTCTCATCAACGGCGCGTCTGCGAAATGGAGGGTGCAGCAGTGGCGGTAGCTGTGGCATGACTCCCCCCGTGGCCGCAGTGCTCAAGGACAAGGTCACAGGCATCGAGTTTCCGTGCGAGGCGACCTTCCCCGGCACTCCCAAGATGACCCTGTTGGGAGCTGGGCCGAGGAGGAAGAACCTCGGTCAGTCAGCACAGAGGACACTGACTGACAAGATGACAGGGGAAAGAAGGATGATGGATGCATTCATCTTGTTTTGTGTCGCTGCAGGCATTGCTAAAGTCAATGTGTACTCTGTTGGTCTGTACGTGGAGCCCAAGGAGGCCGCCAAGGCTCTGTCATCCTTCAAGGGCGAGAGCGAGGAGTCACTCATGAACGATGATCGCTTCTATGACACGCTCCTGGGCAAGGAGGTGCCCAAACTCGTCCTTCTCAAGTTCGCCCGCACTGTAGGAGCACACAAGGTGGCCGACGCACTCAGCGCCGTCAAGGGTGTCGAGGTGACTGACCAACACAAGACACACACAAAGATACATAACTGTATGCACCCACACGCTGGTCTGTCGTCTGCGGTTCGCCTTCCTGTATGTGCGCAGCCTGAGGTGGTGAGTGAGTTCTGCAGTCTGTTGGAGAAGGGCATGGGTGCGTCGATCAAGAAGGCCGAGACTATCGCCATGGGCTGGACGGAGGACCAACGACTAGACGTCCTCATCCGTGGCCAGCCCGCCGGCACTGTGGTCGACGCCAAGCTGCCCAAGGCCTTCTTCGAGCTCTACCTCGGCAAGACACCCGTCAGCATGGAGGCCAAACATGCCTTTGTGAAACGAGTGGCCAGCCTTTTCAGCAAGGAAAAAGCTGAGTGAGAAAGTGAAGAGCGGGCGACTGGGTGCATTCATTGTATGCGGGGGGCTGGCTGGCTGGGTGGTTGGCTGCGTGTAGGCAGGCATGTAGATGATGCGACCCGACCAGCCGTAGAGAGATGAGATGCGATGCAATGTGAGAGATTGATTTTTCGCTCGAGTGAGATGAGAGAGAGAGGTGTGTAAGTACTGAGATGCTGTGACTTGTACTTTGTATCGGCCGGTGACGGCATGTGGTGGCTGGGCGCATTGGTCTTCCTCGGTGCATCCCGACAAGTTAGCGCCATGTAGCGGCTTGTTTGCCTGGATGCATCGTGGGGGACTGGTACGCACACTCAACACAAGCTGGTGAGACAGGCCGTCTTCTTGGTGCTTTTCTGTGACTGACGGGTGTCTGTCCGGTGTTGCCATTATCATCACTGTGGTGTGGATGGGCTTTGGGAGGTAGCCAGCCTGTCCATCGCAGAAAGAATGGATGCCTTCTCCCTGCATTCGTTCCTGCTGTGATGCTCAGACTGGCTGACTGCTTCAGCTCGCCTCACGTCAATCCAATGCATGACCCAAATCAAACGCTGAGCTTCTCTCCACGTGCGAGCTAAGAATGTGAGAACGATCCTTGAAAGATCCGCCTCCGTTTCGTCCATCGATGTTCCTTACGGCTCTCTTGCAGTCTGTCCTCCTCCTTCTTGATGTGACGCGTTCAATTCGTCAACAGAGCGACAGACCTCGTCATTCGACGACCACATGTGTGATAGATCTCGAAGAAGGGAGCGTCCTTGGCGAAGAAACCTTCGCCAAGGCCTCACGAGGCGAGGGTAGAGTCGTCAGATTCCCCGCCATCCCTTTCGCTTCGCCCCCTGTCGGCCCGCTGAGATGGCGGTCTCCGCAACCTGTCAAGAGGTGGGTGAGAGCGATAGGTGCCTGTCGTCACGGTTCTGATGAATGGATGCGTGTGTGTGTGCGGATGCATGCAGGTGGAAAGGCGTGTACGATGGGCGAGGGAGGGAAGTCGCCTGCATTCAGGTACTTACGGCCACGTGTGCACAGACATGTCAGACGCATCTGCGCATGAGTGTTGGGTATGTTTTTCTGTGTATCATCGTGCGTCAGTCGACGGTTTCTGGCCGCTTCTACAAGTCTCGGCTGCCTCAATCGATGGACTGCCTGCAGGTAGGTCAGGCCTCACAGCTGCAACATGCCATGCAGCCATGACATGAGTGAGATATCTGCGTGTGGCGTGTGTCTTTGTTGTCTTTCTGCAGCTGAATGTGTTCACCTTTGCCCCCTCTCTCCCCTCCTCCCGACACGGCGACCCGAGGCGCACGTCAACTATCTTTGAGGCGCCCACCCCCACTCTGCGGCCGGTCTTCGTATTTCTCCACGGCGGCGCATTCTCCGTCGGCAGCGCATCGGAGTGGATTAACGGCACGTTCCTTGCTGCCCAACTAGGGGCTGTGGTTGTGACGCCCAACTATCGCCTGGTCAGAGAGAGAGATGGGCAGCGGATGGCCAGTCTTGTCACCTGCTTTGAATTGTCTGTCTGTCTGTCTGTCTGGTGTGTGTCCGTGTCGTGTCGCTCGCATAGGGCATGGAGGGTTTTCTTGTACATAAAGGTATGACAGAGCCGATGGCGCACCAACACATGGGAATCGTCTCTATGTGCCGTCTTTGCTGGGTCGCGTCATGCTGTGTTCAGATTTATCAGCTGAGGAGGGTGGCAGCAACTTTGGTTTGCAAGACCAGCGGGCGGCTCTGCAATGGGTCCAAAGGAACATCAGGCTCTTTGGCGTAAGCACATACTGACAACACTCTCCCCCTATCACATCACAGCTTCCTCTCGTGTGTGCATGCTGCTGCAGGGTGACCCCGATCGCGTCACTCTTGCCGGCTTCTCAGCGGGAGCCCAGTCTGTCCTCTACCACCTCTTGTCGCCCTCGTCCATCGCCCTTTTCTCGCGTGTCTATGCCGCATCTCCCGTCCTCGGCGTGGGCATGCTGGATCTTCACGAGGCTACGGAGCTCAGAGGGAGCCAGGTGGACAGGCTGGGCAAGAAGACCATTGACGGGTTACGTGACGTGGACGCCAAAAGGGTGGACAGGGCTGTGAGAGGGTGGAGTCGGAGTGCGTCCCGGGACGCGTCGTATCCGTCAGCAAGGATGCCCGTGGCGGATGGCGTCAACATCCCATCCAACAACGTGCTCAGGCTGTTCGAAGAGGCAAGCAGCTGCACACCGCTGCCTGCACCATAGCTATCGATGGTGATGAATGAATGGGTCTTATGCCTTCTTGTGTGTGTCAGGCATCGTTTGCCGGCAAGCCTCTGCTGTTGACGGTCACACGTGACGAGTCATCCGTGTTCCTCATGCGCGTCCTCGCCACGCTCCGAAACGACACCTTTGATGGCATCATTGACAACGCTTTTGGCGACACACGGGTCGGGTCACGAGAGACAAAAGACACTGTCTGTCGTTGCCATGACTGGCTGTGTGTACATGGATGGATGAATGCAGGGTCCTCTAGTCCGGGCGCACTACAACGCCACTCTATCTGAGAAGGGCCCGTGGGCAACACTGGCCGAGATCCAAACAGCTTCCCTCATCGCGTGCCCACTGCGGTTCGTGGCTCGTTATGCATCCAGCTATCACGTGCCCCTTTTCCTTGGTCTCTGGTCCAACCGTCCCTCTGCGGCAAAGGGCTTTCCTGGCGCGCACCACGGTATCGACATGCCCATTCTCCTCTCGCCACCATCTAAGAGGAACAGGGCCATCAGCGAGGCCTCTATCGAGTACCTGCGGCAGTTTATTGAGGGTGAGGAGAGGGAGCTGTCAACGACTGTCAAGTGGCCGTCAAGGGGGCTGCGGCGGGACCCTAGGATACGGGTGCCATATGACGCTGAAAGGGTGGCGTGGCGGGCCTACGAGAAGAAGAGCAAGTTTGCTACCATGGTGTGGGAAACGAGGTGAGTGAGGCAAGCCAACCAATCAACACGCTTGAGAGAGAGCAACACTGGCGTGTGTGAGTTGTTGGTACGCTTTTGCAGTACGTTGGGCACCCAGGAAGATGCCATCGCGTCAATGTTCGACTGCGACTTCTGGGATCAGCTCTACGCCAGCGACACAGACCCTGACAAGGTGACCCAGCGACTTGGCATTCAAACCAACACGCTACTCTCCTTCCATCCACGCATTCACCAACACATCCATGTATCTTATCTGTGGCCCCCCGGACTGTCAGGTGTACGGCCACCCTTTCATCTTCATGGAGCGGCTGGCCCCCCACATCGAGCCACTCCACCACACGATAATCAACCTGATGGCCTTTTACGCCCTCGAGGCCTCGCTGAGGTGGACGGCCCTTGTCCCGTCTGCCATCGACATTTCTCTGGCCCTAGTGCTGGTCACACTCGTGCTGGCCTTGTGCTGCAGGAGGCGGAAGAGGAGCGAGGATGAAAGGCCAGAGAGTAGCGGGCAGGCGAGTCCTGTAGTGAAACACGCCAGGGGGCCGGGGCCACCTGAGGGGTACGGCTCCACCAAGAGGCGGAGTGTCAGTGAGAGGCGGTGACTGACTTATGTATGTAAGATAAGTCGTATGTATGTCCATTGCATTATCACTGTATTGTATTGCATCCATGTCAATGTTGGCTATCGCTGTGTATTGCTTGTTATACACGGACTGCATGGGCAGAGAGATCGATGACTGAATGAGGGATCAGCAATTTTCCTTATGTCGGTCCTTTATCAATCAGAGATGCTCAGACAGCTGCTGTCATTTGGACGACTAGTCTTTTTGACGTACGTACCTGACCATGGCACTTATACAGCTCGTGTGGCTGACGGGTAAACAGACGTCCTCGGAGCCATCACAGCAGGAATCATACACAATCTAGCATCTCTAGGGCTGATAGCCTGCAGGAATGTCCACATTGGTGCAGCAGGGAAACATATTTCGCGCGTCGAATGAGATGCGCGACGAGATTTACCGTACGAGACGGAAAAAAGAAAGGAAAAAAGTCAAAAAACGGGCCAATGCCCGCTGAACTGCTTTCCCTGACGACCGCACCACAACGGGGTGGCTGTACGGGAGCGGGACGGCGGCAGAACTTCACACCGGACGGCCTCACTCCTCCCCGGCTCGACGCCAACAAGAACGACCAGAACGCCTTCCCGCGGCCGCTCTACCGCAAGCTGACGCTGCTGGAGTTCGGGGCATCGGTGGCCGGGGCGGGCGTGCGGCCACTGCCAGTGCCGCATCGGGTGTTGTGAGAGGAGAAGATCCTCGAGGCCTACCGCCACCATCTCGAGAGGCACCTCATCAAGCGCATCCTTGCCATTGCCACCACTGCACTCGGCGAGCGCTATTGCGTCATCGACCGCCGGCACACCGAGAGCCCAGCAGATTCCCCTCCCTGCCGGTGTGCTGCAGCAGGTGCTGGCGATGGCGGTCCCACAGCTCCCCACCATCGGCGACCCGCGGCAGCAGGGTCGGCTGCGTCGGCTGGCCTTGGCCGTGAGGTCACCCATCATGAGTTTCTTGCAGGGGCGGGAGATGGGGAGGGTTGAGGGTGTGTCTAAGGAGTGGAGGGCGGCATCTGAGATGGGCAACCGCCCCTCTCCACTCGCATCAACACGGCCCTCCGGGCGTTCCTCGAGATGGCCAGTCAGCGCGGGATGAGGAGCGGAGTGGGGGGTTTTCGCTGCTTTGAGCGCCGCTGATGGGGCTGCGATCTCGCCCGGTCAGCCTGTGGAACGTCGTGAATCGCGCAGGTGTATGTGCGTTGGTATTTGGATCTGTAGGCCACCTTCATGGGCATGACCAAGCAGGAACTTCTCGAGAAGTTCTCAAAGGCCAGGGTACGCAGCACACACAAACACACAAACACACAAGCACACACCTTTTCTCCCAGGTCTGTGTGTGTGGTGTGGTCCGTCAGTCGCTGGCAGACGCCCTTCCTGACAAGGAGTACGTGAAGAACCTCAAGGATTTCCAGATCTGGCGCACCTACGCCTTGGTCAGTGACGTGAGCGGCAGCTGCGTGCTGGGCGGGACTGTCCCCCTACCTCCCAGTGTGCTGCAGCAGGTGCTGGAGATGGCGGTCTCAGGGCAGCAACGGCTCGGGCGCCACCGGGCCCAGCCATCGATGCATACGGGTACGTACAGAACCACAACACACACCACACACGCACACATGCACACACACACACAGAAACTCACACAGGCATAGAAATGGTTAAAGAGTGAGCACACCACACGAGACTTTCTGTTGGCTCCTCAGCGACGGAGGGCCCTTCCCGGGCTCTGGGCAGCGGCCCTTCTCGACGCTTAAGATCAAGCTGCAGGAGGATCCCACCATCGCAACAGCAAGAGAGGTCAGATACGCAGGCAGTGCTCATGAGGGAGCTGAGGGGTCACGTCACAGGATCTCTGTCTGTCTGTCTGTCTGTCTGTCTCTCTGTCTGTGTCATTTGGAGTGCAGCAGCTGGGTGTGATTAGCTCAAAACTGCAGCAGCTCGCGGGCCTCATGGATCGTCACAGA